GAGGGTGTGTGAAGGCTGAATTTAAAATCTTTGGATTAGACGCGGCCAAGGAACAACTCTGTGAAGTTCCAGCCTCCTAGCAAGGGCCGTTCCCGAAGACGCTTTTCCGCCAAAAAACTTCCACGTGCCCCTACGTGAGAACCACGCGGACCTGAGCGCCCATTTTGAGGATACGAGCCCGCACGCAAGTGTAGACTAAGTCACCAAATTTTCAGCCTTGTAGCTTTTGTGGATCTCAAGATGAAAACTCGTTACAGACGCTCGCACATACACACACAGACGCACACACACACACACGCACGCACACACACACACAGACAACCCCTCGACAATATGTGTTTTTGTATTACATAGCTGCAAGAAACGCATAAAAAGCGGTCCCATGATAAAACCCATATTAAATGATGAAGACAGTACCTCAATTCAGTTGAATTGTTGAGTTGTTTAGGACGTTTTTGTTCATTTCCCTCTTTTGTCGAGGGCACTTTTCCTGACTGCGCCATTTCGAAACCGCGATTTTCTGCTTTCTTTGATACCTGCAGTGGAATAATTCTGAGAACATTTGAAGGCATAATTTATGAGAGTTTTTTTGTGTTTCCAGATCGCGTGGAATTTATAAATCGTCCAGCTTTTTTGACGCTGCACTAGAGCTTTATTCTCCTTGAACAACTGTGTGGAATTAAATGATTGGAGAGGGACCAAAATAGAGAGAAATGGAGCAATTGCCAGCTGTAGCAATGATGAGAAGAAATGAGACGATGAAACAGCCAGCTGATCAATGTATCCAAGCAAGTACATCGCTGAAACTTAATTCAGCGTTTTTGCGAGAACAGCCCTTTGAATTTCCCTCACCATGGCTTTCTGAACCTTTTGTCAATAAAATTGGAGTGTTTCTTGGCACTTACAACTCTGACTGAAACTGTTTCAAGTCTAATAATTAACTGTGAGGCATGCAGCATTTAACCAGAAGTACTTGCTCTGCTTTATAGGTGTGAAAGACTAGAGAAAGGAAAATAGTGTAAAAAAGTTGATGCACGAGAAAAAAGGGAAATTCACGTGAAGATTTCCAAAACATCGTGCAAGAAAGCAACGCTGAGACTTTTCTTCAGCTGTCGGCGTTGCTTCAGTATTTCCTTCTGCCTCTGATTTAGTCGGCAAATTCTCAAGATATTCATTAGCATTCATACGCTGCCTCTGTAATTTCTGAGATTCTGCCCTTAAAATGAATTATTCATAAGAATGCTGCTTGTTGCACCTAAAAAGAAAATCTCAGATCGAAAGATTAAGAGTTTCGCACAAATACAGGAGCAAACCAACAGGAAGGAAAATGGAAATGGCCCGAATGGTAGCAAATGCTAACAGCAACCACGCACTAGCAAAGTTGTTGTTGGCTCCCTTATTCGAGACCGCCTGCAATGAAGCTCATTGCAGACTTCACACTCTGCCCGTGCCAGTACCAATTTATCATCGAAATGAGTGAAGGACTTTGTGTA